TCAATAAGAATTTAGATAAGCATTTTTCCACTACCTCACGAAAGACCAGTTCGATGACTGGTTTCATGGGGACAGAGATTTTGTTGGGGCCGTAGATCGCAGCAACGCGCTTCGCTTCATCCTCTGTCCAACCGCACCAGCCGCCGAAAAACGTGACGGGAAAATTGCAACTGAGATCGGGAAGTCGACAGAAGTTTCCCATATCCTCCTGCCAGATGTAGACAGTTTTGCGGTGCGTGAAGTATCGGATAAACTTCACGCTTTTCTTGTCGCCGTTCTTCTGCAGCACCAAAAAGCCGTCTGTCGCCGATTTTGACTTCACGGAACGAACGTAGTACTGCCGAGATTCATCCCTGCAACACAAAACAATGTAAAACGGTGGAACTTCGAGAACATGATTCGTAACTGGTACTTACTAATGGACATTTCTGACCACTGCTAAATAAAATCAGAAACTCGTTTTAACACGAAAACAAGCAGAAATAAAAAGGGGCACAAAGCAACTGTCCTTGCAATAAATTAGCGGGGAACTATACCAAACCAGACATACTAATGCATTCAAGCATAACAGCCCTATTTTGCTAAAGTTCGGGGGCTAGTGGCAAAATGAGTATGAGGCATAAACTTCGATCTCGAACTCAGGAGGTTCCGAGTTCGATTCCTGCAGCAGGCGATCTGTCATCACGACAAATTCTCTTGATCATGGAATTTACCACAAACTGCTTCATATCGAGATTATTCGGTTGGTAGAACATTGGACTCGGAACCGCAAGGTCCTGAATTCGAACCCTGGTCAGGGTCACTCGCCTTTCTTCTTTCCGAGGTTGACAAAAAAGTACCACTCTGATAAATAAATGGGAAGCAAACACGAGAATATTATCTGTGCTTGACACAGTTGTTAAAAATAAGATACTCCTAATTGGTGGCAAAAAATAAAATTCTACGCCCCTATCATTAACTTCACGGTGCTAGAATTGGCTTCATCGTATAAGTATAAAGAAGACACCGTTACAGAATTTCTTTCCTTCCACAGGGTTTCTCAAGATTCATGAATACGCCTCCTTTTCGAGGATCACATTAAGCGAGTCAACACATCGGACAGATGACCGAATAAAAACGAGACTGAACATAATAAGTACTACAATAGATAAACTTGTAAACATTTCGCCCTAAATATGCAGTCTACCATAACGCTGAATTTGCAGAGACAATAACCAATAAACTGTGTCAAAGCCACCAGCAAGGGCTAGTTGAGAAGTGGTGCATTAGTACATGCAGCTGCGTTACTAGTACTACTACTCAGCATTATAGTTGAACATATACCAACAAGGTGGCAGTTTTCAATACTGCCTGTTAAAAACTACTACCACTACGAAGAATCAACATCAGTTGGTTAATCAGATTTTCTCAGGTATAGTAGAGTTACGTTATATCGTACTACATGGAATGTGACACGTTTGGAAGACGAAACATCTGTTAGTCCAAATATTAGACTTTGCAATAATTGGCATAGTAAAACGATGTTGAAAGCCATGAAGGATTTTAAAATACTCAACATTTAACACTTTTCGCAACTTTTCAGCGATGTATTTAGAATAATTAAAAATTAAAAACGTCCTATTTCTGAAACTTGGACACTTTCTGCGTCATAATTTAGTCTACAGCTGACTATTATACGATTTGCGCTACTCTCGAATTAAACGAGGCAAATCAAATTTTACCGTCATAAAGCTTATTTCTTATACAGGCTATTCTTCATTAAAAAAATCAAATCAATCAAAAATCAATATTACAGAGTTTCAAAGAACTGTCTATTAATAAAGCAGCAACTACATTCTCGTTGATCGTTTATTTTGATCATGGAATCAAAATTTAGACATTAATTTGTCATTAAGTTTTCGCCAAACTTTAGTTTTATAACAGCCACGCGCCTTTATTCAGCAAAACATAAATAAACGGAAAAGGAAGAGTGAAATTCGAAAGATGTCTACATATCTCCTGAAGAAGCTTCGCAAAAGGCGTAGATTTGTGTCCAGGGCAAGACTTTCAAGGTGCTATATGATAATCTCGGCAGTACGTCATATCATGGAAGAAATTTTCGGATAATCTTAACACTATAATCAACAGTAAAATACTATTAAATCAGTCTTTAACATACCATGACAGATGATGTTCCATGTAATAATTTCGAGCACAAGGATAAGGTTTAGGCCAAAATTTCTTGATTGTTTATTGCCAAGCCAATGCTTTGGGCATAGTATGTAACAGCGTTTTTTAAGTGTGGTCGAAAGTTGTCAATAAGAAGAATTCATTTTAACGTCTACCTTGACCCTGCGCCCAAAGCCAACGATTCATTATAATATCTGCCACAATATAAACATCTAGACACAAAATTAATATGAACTTATGAAACCGCCGGAATTTAACGATGGCGCTCTCCAGAATGGTTCAGTCTGTTGCAGTTACCTTTGAAACTCCTGGAGATTCTCGATCTTTTTCTTAACAGTCTGAATATCTCAGCAGCTGATCTGAAAAATTCTGTAAAAAATCTGCGACAGAGAGAGTATAGCGGAAGTAAAAACTGGGTTTATGCAACATATCTTATGAAGCTTCGTATAAATCCGCATTTTT